GGGAAGCACTTGTCTGTTCTCATGAAAAACCTGTGGTGGTGTAAGGTGCTGAGGAAAGAACATCCCTCTTCAGGGAGAAGTTGACGACTGTTGTGAATGGGGAAGGCTGGTTACAGTGCTCATCAACCATCACAGCCGGCACTTGGCGCATTTCTTAGTCTCATCTCTAGGCTTCTGAACTCCCAGTTTCATTGGAGTGCATCTCATCTTGGGCTATAAGGACTTGAAATACAGCGCTAAGTGATGTCTGAGCTTGTCCTGCCTGCAGCTTTGGGAGTGACCCCCAGACTGCAATTCAGCCTCTTCAAATGGAATAAACACTTATTTAAATAGCAGTCTTCCTCCACCACTCCCTCTAAAGCTTATGAGCAGGGGATCAAAGATTTCTCAAGCTCAACTGGCCCATCCACATGGCGGGTTTAAGACGTACTGACCTCTATAGCCAAAACCACACACAGGAGTAATGTGATTAGGATAACAACTTTGGATACTGAACCCGGTTACAGTTTGGTCAGCTGGGACCTCTCTTTTACACAAGGTGAAAGCACAGTTTGGAGTCACTCGTCTGAATTGTTAGCACAACGCCTGACTGTCCCACTGCCCCTAAGAAAACAATACATGGAAGCAGCAGCTATTCCAGAAACATCCCAGTGACTTAAAATACAAGCAAAAACAGTCCGAGGGCAAAAGTTGGGAAGCTAATAAATTAGCAGAGTTACATTGTGATGCTCTCAAAATAGGAGGTGTTTTTCGAAAATGAAGGGGTGAGACAGTTCAGCCTCACAAAATCATGGTTGCTTCCTGGCTTTGAACAACTGCAGCAGCCCAGAGCGAGGGGTATGAGAAGGCGCAAGGGGCAGGTTTTGAAATGGAAGGAGGTGCTGGTTCAGAAGAGAGAGTATAACTGTGGTGGAACAACAATGCTGACTTGGAGTCTATAGAAAATCTGATCCACAAATGCTGGATACATTTCCAGAAGCAAAAATCGCATTTGTTTCTCCAGAGCTAAAATAAGAACACGCTATTTTAAGCTAGCGAACGTTATCCCAACGCACTGAAAACACAGGGAAAAAGTTCAGCAACTTTACAAGTTGGCAAGATTGTCTCGGGCCTCAGCTATCTTACTTTGCACTGCACTAGACAATAGCTCATGGTGAGATGAGCCCTGATACGTGTGTCCTGCTGTCCAGCTGCAGTCTCCATCTCTGCTTCTACCGTCTCTGTGTTAAGCAGTCAGCTGTGTGCCCCCCAGCAGGGTCCTCTGCGTTGTAAGGCTTTCTCTGCAGTATTTATTGGGTTGCAGTGGAAGGGATTGCAGTGTTGGGACTTCAGGTAGAACTCGGCAACTTCCCAAGACTCCTTTCCTGCTGCTGTGTCCTACTCCTGTTGGAGACTAGCACCTTCAAACAGGCCAACCACCACGAAGTGTGTTGAGGTCTGAAGATGTAGCTGTCAATACATTGATGGGTGGCTTCAGCTTTGCAAGTTATCTGCTTGCTCCTAGGCAGCTCTGGTGATGACTTTTGGAGCACTAGGGGAAATATAAGGTGGAACAGCCAATGCCAGCCACTTGGATCACACATACCTGGAGCAACATTGGTGGTCACGAAAAGGACATGGACTGGAATAAGAGGAAAAAGGCAAACAGCAAAGATGCACTTTATGGGAGCTCTGCAGTGACAAGACACTCATGGGAGAGTTCCCTTCCAGGTCAGAAATATGAAGTCATTGCCATCTGCAAGTTCAGCAACCTGCTCATTACCTAGAGTAGGAAGTTTCCAGATCCCAGTGTGATACCAGGCTGGCTCAGCATCTTCTTTCTCAGTCCAGAAAACCTCCTGCCAGTCTTCATCTGGCCTCCTCCTTGAGGCAGCCACATGCTCCCGTGTTTCTCTCCTGGTCCCTCTCAGACTCACTAGGTTCATAAGGGCTCTGTTAGCTAAAGAATAGGGACTATGGGAAGCAAGACAGCAACAAGAACTCTCAGAAAAAGGTTTCTATGTTTCTGCTTTGTTTTAAGAGCGTCTCAGCTCCTTGCTCTTGATGCACTGTTGGTGGGTGTCCCAGGAGTGATTTCTTCTGGCTCTCCTCTTAATCATGGTCCCATGGCCACGACTCTAACCAGGGACTGCCTGAATCTTTCACCCTTCGAGATGAGAACCAGGACCCCTGGCCAGTCTGGGCAGATTCACCTGGCACGGTCAAGCTTTAATGTACTGAAATGCCACAGTGATGAGACGCTGGTGTCAGGAACAGCTGAAAATGGTCTGTGTTGGCTACAGATCAACATTTAAGCAGGGAGCACGATCAATGGGTGACAGGAGATGTGGACGTAAGGAGGTCAGGGCAGGATGCAAACCAGTCTCTGAACTCAGCTCGCCAAACATGCACAAAGCAGAGATACATAGGTAGCAGCAGTATTCTCTGATGTTACACAGCTCTGTAAGCCTGCTATGTGACAGAAGTGGTGAATAGACACTGTTTAGCCAGTAATTCCAGCCAGTTATCTCAAGCTGGTACAGAATCAACATAGGTCAATTCAGTATGTGTAAGCTAAAGACCCTAGACAAACACTTCATGAACACACAGCTCTCACCAGATTAAGTGGTTTGTTTAGCTAGCAGGTAATTCTTTAATGAAAACAGCAGGAGTGCAGCCAGAACAAGTTCTAACGTTTTCTAAACAGAGAAATTATTTCAGAAGCTGCTACCATAGAGTAACAACCTGGATTTGCCCCATTGCTGCCGCAGTCTCGGGCGATGGAGCAGCTCAGGCAATCATCTCCCTTTTGCTGGGTTTGTTCCCTTACACTTGCAAAGACACAACAGTCACCTCAGTGCTGCCCTGGTGCTTGTCCAAACAATGCAACTAGCTGCTGCATTTGCTGATAATTCCCTGAGCAAGGGATTCTGCAAGTGTTAGGCAGCCCTATAAAAAGAGACCAACAGAAGAAGAAAGGAGAGGAGGTGCTTGGCAGAGAAGAAAAAAAGAATTTTAAGGGTTAAGAAGCCATCACATGGGTTGGCAATGGCACAGAAGGAGACAGACTGCAGATAGCTATCGCTGCTAGGACGAGTCAACACTTGCTTGAGCGACTGAGGTCCCCTCTGCAGCGCAGTTAATGGGTAGCCCGCTGACAGCACCACAGCTCTCAGCCGACCCAGTTACTGCAGGGTTTCCGTTCCCAGCACTCACAGCCAACACAAGCTTACCTCAACTTTCCCAACTACTAATGCATTGTTTAAAGCTTCGGCAACTGGAATCAGGCGATCGCTGCTGAATCTCAGCTTTCACTTAAGCAGATAAAGAAAATATGAAGCTTCTCACCGTCAGAGAAAAGCCTGATAAGATGAGTACCCTAAGGTCAAAAGTCGTGATGATAAACGAGAACCTCACCCGAGATAGGTTTTAAATATTGTGATCTTAAAAGCACACCTGATATTTTTGAGGGGTCTCCTTCATTTTCTGATTGTATTCCTGGAGGAGTACTTGGTGGAAAGATGGGACTGGCTTTAAAAAGGAAGCATTCATTAACAAAAGTTGGCACAAAAGGCAGCAGGAACACATTTACATCAGTTGGGAAAGGAAAAAGCCAAAGTGCTGCAGAGACTACACAAAATGAAGAAAAACCCATTACAAGGAGGTAGGGGAAAGCAGGAGGGAGATTTTTTGCTTTCCTTCCTCTTGATCATCCTATCCCGTACAAGAACGCTCTGAATCTCTCTCTGAACGCTGCTTTCACCTCCCTCTTCTAAGCCAAGCTTCCCTTAACACTCTGAGTTTGGCTATAGGAGCTGGAGACAAAAGAGGAAACCAAACACCCAATAAAAACATGGGAACTGGCCAAAGGAGGATTCCTAGAAGTAAGGATAACAGCAGCAAGGTGGGTTAGCGCTCAGGCTTCCAAGGTTAGAGGTTAGTCCTGCATTCCTCTCAGGGGGTAGAGAGAGGGGAGGTGATTTTCTAACTCCACAGCGTGAAAGTTTCCGAAGCGAGCCAGGAGATTTATCCTCTTACTTCCAATGGGCTGTGTGGCAGCTTATCTCAGTCAGCTTGGGTCAGCTTCTCACCTGGGTGAGGTCCAAGTAGATCCAACTCGGTCTTAGGTGCAAGTGAAACGCTCAGCCCTGTGCTCCTGTCGTGCTGGAGGGTCAGCCCCACCGCTCCCCTGCAGCATCCCCACCTTCAAGTGCTCAGCCCTCAGTCCCACCACTACCCATGTTTAATTTGGGGACTGCAAGTCTCAAGCTACCTCCAGCAGTGGGGATGCTGGGGATGAACACACACCCCCTGCTCCTTTAGCTCCCACTGTTAGCCAGGATGGGTGGCATGGCATTGGCTGCATGGATGCACTGGGGACACTGCTGTGCCCTGCAGTGTGGCCTGAAGACCATCAGCTGTGAGATCTTTGATACTGCTCCATGTCCTGGATTTATGCTGATTTAACCTTAAAGAAAAGCCATCCAATGTTTGGATGTCATGAGGGACAGGAACAGCCACTTGGGGGGCTTTCTGAATATGTGAGCATATTCTTAAAAACCAAACCCCAAACCAGTTCAGTGACTGCTAATCACGTACCTGGAAAAGGAAATTTAAAATAAAACCCTCTTCCCCTTAGCAGCCCCGTCTGCCAGGAGTGACTTGATAGCCATATGGTGCACCTATCGCTGCAACGAGCCGATCTGGATAACGACGACGGGCTGGTTTGAGAGTGGGAAGCAGGCCTTCCCTGTCACTTGTAATCTTCTCACATTCACAGGCATCTTAAGTCCTTTCTAAACACGTTGATACTGCCTGAAATTCACTGAAAAAACCAGCCTTTGTTTGTGTTAACAGGATGAGAAAGTGCAAGGCTTCCTGTTATGTGTGTGTGACAGCCATAGATAAGCAGAGACCTCTGGACAGGAAATCCGCCCAACTTCTGCAGTGTGACTCGCCTGAAGCTTAGGAGCTCTTTACAGATCGAAGCACCAACAGAATGAGACGGGGCTGGCCGGAAAATGGGGGACACGCTGGAGAAGAGCTCTGAGGAGCCCGAGATCTCCTTGGACAATGAGTGTTCGATGAAAATGGGGGACCTGGTGGAAGTCTCGAGTGGTGAGAAGGTTAAGTTTGATGATACGGGACTCTCTCTGGTGCTCCAGAATGGCCTGGAGAACCTTCGGCTTGAAAACTCCCTTACGGATGTCATCCTGTGTGTGGACAGCAGGGAATTCTCCTGCCACCGAGTGGTCCTTGCTGCAGCGAGCAACTATTTCAGGTAAGGCATGTAGGAAAGAAAACCAAGAAACTTAACTTCGCTTCTTAGTCTTGAACTGTAGATCACCAAGGAGTGTAAACTGGGTGCTAAACTCTGCACATTTGCAGTGGGTCTGTAATTCCTGACATCTTCCAGCTTGTTTTTTAAAGTTGCAGCCTTAAATAAGGCAGGTGCCAAGCTGTGGATCTGCCGCAGTTCTGATACGAGCGTTCAGCAAGTCCACTGGAGGGCACGCAAAGAAACAGAGAATGCTTGGCAGACAACTGGATGAGAAAATGGGGTTTTAACCAAGTATCTGTAGCCCCTTGTATTGTCCCTTTGGGACTCAGGCGAAGAGGAATATTCACGCAGATCATGTGGTGTTTTTATTGAGATAGGAGTGGGTTTGTGGGACTCGATCATTTTTCGCATCGCGATTCAGTGGTAAAAATATACATCGCATAAAATTGTTGAGGAGGAAAGAGAAGGAGTTGTCCATCTTTCCTAGGGTTACTGACACTGAATGGCAATGGGAAATATCTGCTTGAAAGCCATGTTACCACTTCACGCCGTTCTCCTGGTCCTCCTGGATTTTTCATTCGTTCAGAACTACAACAGATAGCCTATCTGAGCCTACTGGCCAGCAAGAACAAATTCTACTCACACAGAGGAACTCAGTATCAGTTTTAGCACAGATTTTCCATTATCATTTAGACAATCACATTTGCATGGCTGGGATTTTTTTTCTTTCTTTTTTTTTTTACTGCTAAAGTGGTCAGATGACTGAATAGCTACAGAGGAAACATGAGAAAAAAGAACCTGTGACCACTTGTGACACGAGCAGAAAGCTAATTTTAATGGAGTCTAGTGAGCTTTGCTGGCAGTGCCTGGAAGAGGGGTTCTGATTTTATCATCTCCGAATAGATTGTGTCTGTGAATATACAGACATATGTGTTGTTTCTACGGATAGATTCTATAGATCACATGTGTGAAAATGTACCACTGAAAGCAGAGATGCCCAAATATTTCGTACCAGCATTGTGTGCAGGAAGGACAGCAGATGCACAAGTTAAACAGCAACTCCTCTTCTGCTATGAGGAAAGGTGCTGCAGTCAGAAGGGGCCTCGACAGTTAAAACCAGGCTGGTTTTCTGGTAACTACTGTTGGCTGCTTTTGCACTGAGCCCTGAGCTGTTGGAAGGAAGGGGGATACCTGGATGGAGGTCATCTCATCCCAAGGCAATTGCAGGAGTAGGATCTGCCCCCCTGGGTGCTTGTGTTTGGCCTTGCTTCCCACGGAGATGAGATTTGTTAATCATGCTGCCTGCCTGTCTGTCAGTGCCTCTTGTCACGACTCTTTGGGTTAGTTTCAATGAAGTTTGACACAGAGTTGAAATATCAAAACAGAAATTCCCACAAGTTTGATGGCAATCAGTTGCTAGGCAGAGGAGAGATGCTGGGACTGGGAGCTCGTGGTGCTCAGCTGAGTAACCAGCACCACATCCTGGCCAGCCAACACATGCAGCACCCAAACCCAGCCAAAGCTGCCACTGCTTGGCCAGACACAGGCAGCCAGCACAGATCTGTGTCCTGAGAGGGCTGGTGAAATGTGTGAGAGGAATAATGAGACAGAATGGAGGGCTTGGGAAGGGGAAGCTGAGGTTACTGTGAAGAGGGAAAGGAGGACACAAGTCTGCAGGGAACTGAGCTTCACTAGTTCTGCTACTCACACAGTGGCTTGTTTCATCTTGCCATCATTCACTAGAAGCTGCATAAGCCCAAAGAAGGAAGAAATACTTAAATCACAGTATTCCTGTGAGCACTTTCCATGCTGTTACAGGGCCTCTAACACCCGACCATAGCAGCAAAGCAAAGAGACCCTGTGAATCATGGGCTTCATTCTCCTGCAACAGCCAGTTACACAACCCCCTTCCTGACTGCTGGGTGCTGTAATGCAAGCGCTCTGTAGCAGCTGACTTAAACACAGTTAAACAAAGTAAACGACTTCCAGCCCTTCCTTCAGCACTGCGTGAAAGTGATAGACGGGTACTTCAGACATGTCCTGCATCTGTAGACACAAAAGCATTAACTCTCTGCTTTACCCTGGCGAAGGTAACAAAGCAGAGAAGAGAAACACGAGCTGACCAAGGTGGACCAGTAGCTCTTTACTCCTGCACTGCCCAAGGTAGTGGGAGAATGGGGCTGGGAGAGGTTGAAGCAATACTTTCCAGAGCATCCTCAAACTCCAGCACAGCCATCTGAAATCAGGTTCATAATTCCAAGCACAGGCACTCCAGTGTAGGTGGGTGCTTAAGAAGTGCTTCACAAACTGCAACCCTTCACTTGTTTCACTGAGATTTATCTCCGTTTCTTCTGAATTTATCCATTTTTAGGTATCTAAATTTGGCCCTGGGCACCCCACTTCAGATGTGCATTTCTCAGAGTAGATGTTGGTTGGAAGGCTTAGTTTAGAATTACACATGGACAAGAACCAGGGAAACAGACTGTGAAAATAGTAGCCACATCAGAAATACGTAGAGAAAATAATCACATACCTCTCTGGGTATGCACAGGCAAACCCAGAGGTTCAGAGGCAGTGTTTTAATCCCCAGGAGAGAAGCTCAGCCTGATCAGTCCTGAGTGGTCTCAGGGTCTTCTCCACAGGATGGGTGGGAATCAGGTCCACTCCATCTGGGCAGAAGGAAGGCCCCTGCAGGAGTCAGCTCTCCTGGACAGTACAGCCCCATTCACCCCTGCCACCTTCCAGAGAGGAGCACTGGTGGGAGAGCACAGCGCTTTACATGTGTGATTGCTGCAGGTTGCAGCCATGCTACGTATATCCGTACCCTATGAGATTAGAAGTGGAGAGCATCTCTAACACAATTTCACAGATTAGGAGATAGGTGAAAGCACTTTGACAACATCCCTGTGCCAAGCCTCTGTCAGAGTCCCACGGCTGGTTTCTGAGCAGAATTGCAATGGTGTCGTGCTGGGTATCTCCAACTGACCTCCATCAAACACTCCGGCTCTGAGGGACAGAAGTGAGAGATGTCACCTTCCCGACAGGGTTGGTTAAATACAAGACCGGAGTCACCAGTTTAAGAGATAAAAGGAAGAAGAGCAGACAACACCTGCATCCTACAACAGCCTGTTTCTCACTCAGATGAAGCATTCGGCACCTATCAATCCCGTGCAATTGGGCCACCTGTCTGCATGCCCCAACCACACAACATTCGACACTGCCAGAAGGGAGGGAAGCCAAGGAGGATCCCACTCCTGCGCTCACTGCGGCTAAGGAGCATTTTGTCTTAATGTCTTTCAAACGCTCTGATTTCAGTGGCGGCAGAAACTGGACCACGGATGAGCAGTGAATCAAAAACCTCTAATGAGTTGAGACAAGTTAAGGGAAAATGAGAATTTTGGCTGAACATCTTGTCTGACAAGCAACTTCTCTGCCCAAGTTTCCTGCTCAAAAGTTAGGTCTCTTTACCCAAAAGACAGATTTTTATACTGAGATAACTAACACCAGCTCTCTTGCTATAAATCTCTGCTGAGACAAGGAACAGGTAGCTCTTAGAGCAGCAACGAGCAGCTGGTATCTTCCATCCATTTGCCGTTCACCATGCCTACCTACTTCACAATGAAAACTGTTACCACGTTGGTTCCAGTAAGATGTGTCAGTCACACAGCTCTATTTTGGCACCGCTTTTACAAGAGAAGCATGGACTAAGACTTTGGGCCTCTGGCCACTTCCCAGGTTGCACTGTCCTGTCAACACTGTACATGACTAACAAAGAAGGGCTTGGTACGCAGGGTAAAGAGTGCTTCTAATTACACTTTAGAGCTGCACATGTGTTTCACCAACGCAGTTACAAGTGAACTCATGTAATTCTAATCTGTTGTGCCAGATTCCAGATGATGTGAGATCTCACTCTGCATGCAGTGAACAAGATGGGGCCGATCAAACTTCTAAACAAAAGCAAAAACATTGGAAAAAATACTTAGAACTATGAATTGAAAACACAGGTGAAGATGTGTGTGTTTGCCTTGCAGCTATCGCAATCCAAAGAGGACTTAAATAGCTCTTAGAGAAATTCCTGATTTATATCCCACATGAAATATCTGACTCGTGCCAAAGGGGAGTGTGGCGGTTGCCTGTCAAATGCAGTATTATCCACCAAAGAAGAGGTGGTATCAACATGCATGAAAACACTGTGCTTTCTGGCTAGCAGTCATTAGTCCCAGTTCGTGATTACTCAAGTACTTTTGTAGCCAAGAGATACCGACTCCATAATCCTACCAGAAGCTCCCAAAATTTAGCAAAGAAAGTCCATAAGCCATTCCCTCCTGGGCCATCCCTGGTATTAATGGAGTCAAAGATATGTTGGGAAGCTTAGAGGTGAGGCTATCAGCCATGTGGATCTGCTCTGGCCCTCAGGGTTCAGTCTAAGCAGCACTCTGTAGCTCTGAAGCACAGGGGCATTGACCTTGCCAAGGGTTATAAAGTACTTGTGCTGTGTGTCAATGAAGAATGGAGAATCCCAGTGGCTGGCAGATTTGGGCTTAATGAGGTGGGCATGTACTCGGAATAGAAAGAGTAAGAGCCTGTAAGAGGCCAGCAGGTAAGACATCCCAACTCTCTGTGGCATCAGTAGACACAGAGCATTACTCAGGAAAGTTCCCAGGCTGCTGTGGAGCTCCAAGTCTACTGCAGAGTCCATCCATGTGTTAAACTCATGAGTAAAGAGGTATGAAAGCAACAAAAGGATTTTCCTTGTTACTTTGCTACTAATTGCATGAAATATGAAGCAATGAGTATTCTGTGTTGAAATCTATATAACCAAGTGTTTTCAGAATGCCTCATCCTGGCTGGGATGTAGTAAAAGATAAATGTCTTTCTTTTCAGGGCCATGTTCTGCAATGATTTGCGAGAGAAATATGAAGAGAAGATCATACTTAAAGGAGTTGATGCAGAAACCATGAATATACTCTTGGACTACACCTACACCAGCAAGATGCTCATCACAAAGCAAAATGTACAGAAAGTCTTGGAAGCCGCCAGCCTCTTTCAGGTAGAGATAACTCAAATGCACTGATCCAGTCTTGTTGATCTAGCAATACCATGTTGTACCCTGGTTAACACACTGCGAACGTCTCTGATTTCATGGAAGCATTTTGCTTCGTATTTACTTGCATCGTGTTAAAAAGTGGCAGTTGCAGCTGTGGACTAGAACGGTACCGTGCAAAGAGCTGGGCTGTGCCTCCACGAGCTGTCCCCATGTGCTGCCTGCCAGGCAGCAGGGTGGTGATGCCAGGGCAGTGCTCCCCACAGCCCAGGTCAGCCTGTGGAGGCTGGTTGTCCTCCACCCTGCTGGAGTTAATGGGCAGTGGCTGGCATGGCTGGCCAGAGATGGAGGCTAACTTTGTGACTCCCTCTCCATCGCCTTGAGACGGAGGAGGCTCACCAGCCAAAGTTAACATCCTCCTTTGTAGGACTCGTGATGTAAAGGGTTTTAGTCATGACCTGTGACTTGTGGAAGTCTGACCTGAGCAGCTTACTCAGCCTTTGGTCCATGAGGTATTCACGTGTCCTGTAAATCACCTGTGAGGTCTACCAAATTGGTACCAAGCTGCAAATTGCTAACAGACCGCAACCAGCATAACCTGCCAAGTGCCAATGCGTGTATGTGTGTCCAGTATTTTCAGTACAGAAGGCAAGAAACGCCTGACTCCATAACCATCGTGGTTCTTTATGAACTTCAGTTTCTTGAATCTCCTATGGGAGGTTTTGCTCTGAAATGAACCTGTGGCCTTTGGGGTAATAGGAGCTGTGGGGAGAGAAGGGAAAGTTATCACAAAGTGCTCCCCGAGGTAACTCAAAAAAGGTGGTGGAGTGTTAATGTCACCTGGGGCTGGAGTGCAGTACCTTACTGGCTTTTTCAGCAGACCGATATTGCAACCTGGTAGCACTCAAAGGTTACATCTGGTTCATTTTCAGGACACTTTTCTGGATTCTTTTTGTTTTCTTCTGAACTTTTTTTCCTTAGCATCATTCCTAATTTTTGTTCTGAAACCATCAAAAGTATAGACTTACATTTCTTCCTTTCTCTTCCCTGTATTTCATGAAATTGAAGGTTAAATTTTATTTCCCAAGGCTGGTGCTTTAAGAAAAGCATCAAACACTGTTAGTAAATGATATTATGAGGGTGCTATGAGCAAGAACAGTAAACTACAAAAACCTAGAAAACCAGGAATGTCCAACTAAAAGCAGTGATCCCAAGTCTTGGATACTATCAAGATTGATGAGGCCTTGAAGCCTCACATTATATACGGGTGAGGTATTTCACTGAAAATACGTTTTGTGTGAAAAAGATTCAGTGAGCACTAGCACTCTGCCAGCTGGGCTCTGCTATTTATGCCGACGAACAAACAGAAACATTTAAAAGAGTAAAATGTTTCATTTCAATTTATCAACAGCAGTAAAGATCAATTCTGCGATTCACTGTAACATTTGTGGTTGGGAAATTCTTTCCTTTCCACTAGTGACGTGTGAGAAAACCAAATTCCAAACAGAACTGTTTTATCTGACTAGCAACAACTTTTGGCAGCGCCTCTTTTTAATCTCTGGGGCTTGACAGAGAAGCAGAAAAGAAATAACTTGCACTGTTCTACATATTGTGATACAGATACTCCACCTTCTTCTAGAAACTATTTTTTACAAGAATTTACCTAATTACGCCTTCCCTTAGTCCTTTCCAATAGGAAGCCAAAAGCAGCCAAGACAGGCAGTAGATAGAGGTGGAAGGCTGTTCAGAGAGAGCCGAAGTCTCCCCCGCAGCATGCTCTGTGCACAGAGATGTTGTTTTCCTGGGGGGAAGCAGGTGAAGGGATTGGAACAGGAGCTGCTGAACAGTTAAGCCTCACCCTGAAGTGACCCAGACAAATTTTTCCACCTAGAGCACAGTTGCGACACGAGTTCAGCAGTTGCCTCCTCTGTCTGGGCCAGCACCTGCCCAGCCACCGCGCTCGCAAGGCTGGTGCCCACCCTGGCTCCAGCCCAGCACCCTCAGCAGAGCAGCCGATAGTGCAGCTCATCCTTTCACCTCTCGGTAGGGCCAAGATCTCAGCTCCTTCTCAGTGCTGTGGCAGAGAGCTCTGCTTCACCTGTGGTAACTCAGCAAGAACCTTCAGACCTGTCTACACCCCTCCTGCCCTCCCTGGGACCTCTGTATTACCCCACTCCCTCAGCGTGGCTGTTGTGGTGGAAGCAAAGAGATTATGGGAGTGAAGCAAGCTCCTGAGTATTGTCATGAAGGGCTGTGATGATCACTGCTGTAGGAATGCCACCTGTGGTGGGAACAGCAGAGGATGCCCCCGAGCTGCCTCACTCTGTTCTGCTGCCAGGCTTCTGCTGAGGCACCACCAGCCTGATGGCCTTACTGACACCAAGAGCATCTCCAATCCTGTGTTAATCCACTTCTCATGAACAAGATACTATAAGGATAATACCTGGCCAATTCTCTGAAGACCATCCTGTAGCCACTCAGCAATGGCTGTCACAGGGTGGCTGTCACAGTGCCAGCCACGCCACCCAACAGGCCAGGATTTGCTCCTGAAGGGCTCTTGGGCAGCTCCAGATCAGAGATGGGTTCACAGGACGAGAAAGCTGTCAGTTCCCTAGGGTGCTGCCCTGCAAAGGTCGCCGTGCCCCTTCCCTGCCTGACTCCCTGCCATGGGGGTCCCATGGGACACAGGTGCTACTGCTGAGCCGAGACGGGCAGAGCGGGTGGTGAGGGCAGCACAACTGCAGGGTGTAGGATCTGACCCCAAGGTGCTGCATACAGAGAGGGATTATGAATAAGAGCCCTTTCAACCACTGTTCCCTTCCCTTTCTGGGGGTTATAGAACAGGGCAGGGCTGCTGGCACTGCTTGCACTGGACAGCTTGAATCAAAGCTGGGACAAGCAAGGGCTTAAATGGGGAGAATAAATTTTACTCTTCAGAAAGAAGGCCAAGTGGAGGCCAAGTAAGCACATGGGATGTCAAGTACGAACCTGGATTCAAAGAGGTATTAGAAGAAGGACCCAGTTATTGAGGAAAGTCTTCCCAGGGAGCAGGGCTTTTCAAATGCCAAGGGTGGCATTAGAGGGCGGGTACTCAGAGAGGGAAAGAAGAAAATTCAGAGCTCTGCATGAATTATCTGAGCAGATGAAGCAGAGACTTGGGGGGAGGTCTTCCTCAGTGCTCTCCTGAGTCACCTGCTCTCATGGGACTAACAGAATGCCCAGCAAGTTTAGGGGAGTTTTGGGGGCAGTTTTGCCTCTAAATGAAGGGAGTTGGTGAGGTGACAGTGCATCATGGAAACGAGGAGCAGCAGCCAGGGAAAGGCCTGCCTTGATACGCTCCCAAGCAGCCTGACCTCTCTGGTTAAGCCTTCGGTGGGGACCGTTTCTCACACCCACACCTCGCAGTTCCGCATTCGTCTGGCCACAAACACAGCCATACCCAGCGTGATCAGCGGTGCCTGCGTGGCCGTTAGATCAGTGTGTGCCGCTTGGGAGAAAACCCCCTGGTGTCACCTCGTGAGTATCGCTCTTAGCAAGCCATGTATAAATTATTAGAGCACTCTTACTGTTGTTGGGCCACAGGATGGTGAGAACATCATTTTGCTGTCTATTCTCAGACCTGTGGATGAGTGACCTTGGCAAACCCCAGATTTGGTTTGTTTAATCACAGAATCAGAGAATATGAGGAGTTGGA